AGATGGTGCCAAAAAGGACTTAAGACTGGTGGATATGGAGTATGCTCGTTAAACCTCCTTTCCCACTGGGGCAATGTATAGTTTGGTGACAATGTCTCTTCTCTTCAATCGATGCATTATTTTTTATTTTTATGGCTATCTTGAGTGTTCCCTAGCGTTCACTTTAATTTTACACATATAATAACCTTGAAGGATATCATATATAGAAAACTAGTAGAATTTGTCTCAGATCCAAGTCTTCTAAAGAGATCCTGATGATGAGCCCATTCACATGGCTCTTCCATCTTATGGAGCTGAGAAACAGAGCCCAGGGGAGAAATGTGGCAGGGAATGCTGACATTTGTTTTGCATACTCTTTTAAGTCCTGTTCATGTTGGAAATGTGAAATGATATGATCATTTGGATTATTGAGAATGTTGGTTTGAAATGATGCTTTGTTGTGTGAACATAGAACATGCAAAAGATTGATTCTTGTCCATTTTTCTCCTCAGTCAATTACAAGGGCAGTGAATCACTGTTTTGGAAGGCCATGCACCCTAGAGCAGCATTCTCAAATTTTAGGGTGACTGAGAATCACCTGGAGGACCTATAAAAACACAGGTTGCCTGGCTGCAACCCAGAGCTTCCGATTTGATATATCTGGGTTGGGGCCTATTAATTTGCATTTCTAATGAATTCTAATTGTTCTAGAGAATTGATATTCCATTGCTTACCCTCATCTCTGGAGTATACACATATCAATGATATGGATTTTATAAGCTGACTCCTAGATGATTCAGGTTCATATGAATAAAGCTCCTGAGAATAGCAGGCTATTTTGCTGATGCTGCTGGTCTTAGGATCACACTTTAAACAACACTGTACTAGAGTAGAGATTTTCCACTTTGGCTACAAATGAGACTGCCTTGTATACACTTTTTTAAAATGATGCTTGAAGTACCTTTTCAGACCAACTAAATCTAATCTCTGTAGGTGAAGTCCAGGCATCAGTATTCTTAAACCTCCTCTCCCATCTTCCACTGATGGATCAAATGTGCAGCCTGAATTGAGATGACAGAGTAAATCTGCCATAGAGAATTGAGGGTTGTATCTACCCTAAGGCTTGATTCTGAAATAAAGATGAGAACTGCTTAAGGAATATCAAATTAATGAGGCCTTGATAGCAAATCATTACAAAATTTTTATACCTCTTAATCACACAGGTAAGCGAAGCTGATGTAACAGGCTCGCTTTCCTTGAGACATATTACAGTGGACTTTTGAATAGGCATCATAGTTCTGGTTTCTTGGATAGGAGAAGAGACATGTTCCAGGAAGTTTAGATGAGAAAACTGAGCTTTACTGGCCCTAACTGGAATGGTGAATAAACATGTATGTGCCTGTGTGTGTGTGTGTGCACACATGTGTGTCTAAGAGATTCAGAGATAGAGAGGAATATAAGCACTTATTGTAGCTAATGCCTCTTTTCTATCTCAGAACGGTTTTCGTAATGGATATTGTCAACCTTTGGTAAGAGTTCTGATGGTTTGATTTCTGCTTAAAAGTATATTTGTTTCTCTGACAATTTTTAGTTTCTCTAACATTTCTTGGTGCATATATGTATCCATTCCTTAACTCAAACTTTCACTATTTAAGGGTTTTCTATAAGCATTGCTCCCAAGGTTTTATAAACAAAATAAACCCTAAAGAACTATTAAGGGCTCAGGAAACTTTTTAAAAAGGCATTAAAAAGGGAGAAGTTAGGTGGAATGGTTTCCTTTCTTAAATACCCATATGTTTGAATTAATCATTTCTATTTTATCTTCTAAACTAACATTTACAGAACAACTATTGTGTCAGGCCTATGCACTCTGTTCTGGGTACTAAGAAAGGAAAAATGAAGAAGATAGCAAAGTCTTGCTCTCATGGAACATTTCCTCTCATTCTGCTGAGGAAAGAAAAAATGGTTAAATTTCTGTAATAAAAATTAAACAAGTTGATGTGAGAGAATGTAACTGAGGCCTTACCTTAGACTGAGTTGTCCAGAAAGACTCACTTAGGAAGTGAACGTTATGCTGAGATCTGAATGACAAGAAGGAGCCAGTTATGGCCAGACTAAACACCAGGAAGAAGCATTACAGGCAGAGAGAACAATTAAGGTAAAGGATCTAAGGTGTGTCTGAGTCCGGCATGGTCCAGGAGTAGAGAAAAGACAGGAGGCTAGAGCATGGTGCATGAAGAGGACGGAATAGAATATATTTTGAATACATGAAGCTTCAGATGCCCATTAGACACCCAAGAAGAGGTGTCCAAGAGGCAAGTGCTTCTCAAACTTTAACAAGCATACAAGTCCTGTTAGGATCTTGTTAAAAATGCAGATTGTAATGCAGTTGACCTGGGGTGGAGCCCAAGTGTCTACATTTCTCAAAAAGTCTCAAGTGATGAAAAGCCCGCTGGCCTTGGACTAGTTGGGATATAGGTAATTTTTATTTGAGTCTGTAGTTAAACATAAAGTTAAGAAGGAGGAAATGGAAAAATAAATAAATAAAGCAGTGGTAGGACACATGATAGAGCAGTGCCCCAGAAATCAAACAGTGCTTCAGATTGGTGAGAATGAATAGAGTGGTGAAGGCAGCCTGAGGACCGAGAAGTAGACTTGAGTTTAGCACCTAACAGCCCTGGAAACCTTTCACAGAGTAACTTAACTTGTAATACTGCTCTAGGTGGGTTTCAAACTTCATCATTTTTCTCAAGCCCTCACTCCACCCCCAACTCTAATGCCTGAAAATTTCACTTCCCAATATCTTGGAAAAATAAAATAAAAAAGAGATCAATTAGCAGGATCAACTACTTTCTCCTTAAAACCCATACCAGTCAAATTTAAAATTTCCTGTTTCAATCATTTCTTCCTGTTTCAAGGAAATTGGATACAGTTCCTTCCTTAGATCGTTAACTCATCTGCCTTTAGTTTCTCTACTGTCTCACCACAAAATATGTTCCCATCAGGTTTTTGTCCCTCTCCATTTCACTCATCTGTTCAAGGTCATCAATGATCTTAGTTGGTCTGTCCCCATGTAAGTCAGAGTTTAAGGGATGGGTGATGATATTCTGCCCAATGAAACAGAGTAAGTTTGGGATGGGGGTGAGGAAACATTCTTCATTGATTAAAAGAAAAGACATGCAGGAGAAAAAATCCGCTGCAGCTACTGAACTCTGTGTGGAGTGTGAGGCCTGGAAGTGGTACTACAATCTTACAACTCTGAGGAGCAGGAACCCAAAGGTGACTGAACACGTTGGGATGGGAAAAGCAGGAAAATGGGGACAAACTTTTTGCTTGCAGCATAATAGAACCACAGAGTTAAATGATGGTAGAAAGTCATATTTCTGAAGTATTTCAGATAATTTGTGTTGTTGCTTAAGCCTATCTAGTTACGGTTTTGTATTATGTGAAATTTATAGCAGCCTAACTACCGTAGCAGAATGTGCCCTTCTACTAGAGCTGTTCAAAAGCAGAAGAGTTTCTCACTCCCTCCTTCACCCAGTCCCTTCTTCCCTATATCTCCAAAACTATTCTTTTAATTTTTCTGTCTGCTTCACAAGAACACAATCTACATCTTCTCGTTCACAAAGCACTTTGCAAATGACTTGGTTTTCCCAGCAACCCTTCACTTACCTGTTACTTCAGTTCAGATTTCTGGTAAGTTCTCAGGCCTTAGTTTTATCTTCTTTACAATTGTGATAGGGGTGATATTTTCGGCTTATTTATTTAATGTTAAATAACCTGTGAGTCTTATATCTGGAGTTCATCATTTTGGAGATACAGATGTACATATATATAAATAAAAAGCCATGTAAATGCAGCTAAAACAGTATTTATTAAATGTTACAGTAATCAGAATAAATAACATAAAAGGGCATTCTGAATTTTCTCAGAAAGTCATAGCCAGTTTCCATTTATTCGCTTAGTGAATTTCATGAATCAGAAATTAGAAAATTTTTAGTTTTCAGTGACTTTGCCTTAAAGACCTTGTCTATAATAGGTCAACACATACATGTGATAAAATCTGTATTCTAGAAACGATATTCTCCTTAACTTAAGGGCAGATGTCATAAAAGATTGTTTTGACATGTATTTCAATAAAGGCCATAATTGCTTTGCTGTTTCTAAGACTTTCCCTAAGGCTAACCCTGGTTTTATGTGTGGGTAGGTCCTGCAAAATGATTCCAAGGTTTCCTGGTTAGTTGAAATATAACTTTGGAGGATTCTGCCTATAGACTTACAGCAGCTTTATGTGATTATATATATATATTTTTTCCCCAAAGCCAGAAAATAAACTTTCTTTAAGCTAGCAGAGGGGTTTTGGTGGTTTGGGTGGAGAAAGGATAACAAATACCTAAAACAAACTTTCTCATGGTGAGTGTGATTAGGAAGCATCAAAGTATTCTCGGAAATGAATCAGTTGGTAGACTGATGTGTGCGCTCTGTGTGTACTAGGCTGCACCTGGGGTTTCTACTGCTTGCTCTCTCTGTGGTTTTTATTTCAAAACTGCAAAGCTTTGCCCCTAGCTGTTTCTATAAGTAGTTTACACCAAGAGATGCTTTTCTAAATATATCAAAACTGAAATTTTTACAGATCTGTAAGAGATAGGAAAACTCAGTCTCCTAAGAAGGTGAGGAGGTGTATGTCCTACTGTGCACAATCAGGGCAAGTCCCATTACTGCCCCAGTGTGCAGGGCCATGTCTTTGTGAAGGGAGATGCAGGGGGTAGATGTAACAGGCAGATCCGTAAGGGCTGCAGTTTTGTTTGTGTTCCTGCACTGCCCCTACCCCTAACACTAACCCTAATGCCCAGTTGCTCAGTACTCTGGAGGACAAGCTCCTGCTTTTCTAGCCATCACAATCTAAATATGTTGGACTCTTTCAATGGAATACAGTTTGGTTTTAACAATTACCAAGAATGTTTCTTTCGTGATTCTTATATCTTTAAAGTTACTTTAGTGGTAATCAGTATTTCTCTTATTTTATTGAATTATCATTTTAATGATTTTGGTGAATATTTAATAGAAAGTCCATAATGCTCACATTCATATTTCATGTTATAGTCAAATTTATTAAAAGATAAAGATCACCCAGTATTACTGGAGACGTCTACATAAATAATAGAACTGATATTTCAGACCTGCATGTAATAACACTGTCCCCATATGACTTGCATAGGTTACAAAACTGTCTTCCTAAACATAGTCCTCCTGTTCCTCTTTTCAACTTGGTATATTAATTTGTGCTATTTCTGGCAATGCTTTCTAGTACAAAAGATAAAATTTCAGCCACTTCAACTTTAAAAATAACCATAAAAATCAACAAAAGAGATGTGATTTAATCAAAGTACCCTGAATCAATGGAAAACAGTTTATTTCATGAATTAAAAACTTGATTAATAGTTTTAGAATCACAATGACATTTCCTTAGGCAATTTGGAAGTGATCTGAAAATTACAAACATGAATTATGGTACGTATATCAGTCTATTCTCATCACTGCAATTTAGACATCTGGATGAAAGTCGTGTCTTCAATTTCTCAATAGTTGAGTAACACCATTGCTGGTTTTTACTATAACTGATGAAAGGAAAAGTATGGTAAACTGGAAGCATGTTAACAAACATGGGAGGTCGTAATATGTTTCCAGGATATGGCATTTTGCCATTGACCACAGCCTTTTGGAACAAGATAAAGTCATTGAAATAGTTAACAGATGTTAGCCATACTTGAAATGTAAAAGTTCTACTGCTAAAAATTACGTAGGGTCAGATGGAGATTTGGCACTTGGTCCGTAATTTAATTCACTTGGCAAATGGGAAGTTGAGATCCAGAGACATAACGCATAATATCGAGGCCACACACTTCGCATACTATGCAGGAGCTCATAAACTACTGACAATATGTACACTGTGCTAAGCCAGCTTGATTAAGTATTAACACAGTATTTGATACTTAGGGAAATCTGAAGTCAATTTTCATGTCTACTAAATTAAATTATTTCTATGAGAGCAGAAGAGTAGACTTTTCTCCATGTTTAAAAGCATGTTTACAAATTTTATTATTTAGCTTCAGCTTGCAATTTACTTGATGACTGGTATTACTTTCTGTTGACTTTAAAATGTATCCAGGTATAGTAAAAGTACCTTTTTTTTCCCACTCTTGTCTGTTTCACATTTCAAACAAGTTGACAGTATGATTTTCAGATGAATATCTGTAGCTGAAATGGATCCTCTCAGCCTTAAGTCACAAATTCATTGAAGGTAAGCATTGAAAGAAGCTTGTGCTACTTTAGAGTTTGTGGTTTTATTCACAGCTTTGCAAATAAAGTTACCAGCTTCCATCACTTTATAAAGATTCACACCCTGGTAAGAGAAAAGAGGGATACCAGGGGAGAAAAGAGATTAGAGAGAAAGAGGACAAAATAGATCCCTTTTACTTTTACCAGTAGTTACTTAACCCTTTAAAATTACTAAACAAAATTCTGCTTATTATTGATTCGGGGGCAACCTTTATTTTCATGAACCATGTAGGCAACATTTTAGATTTTTCTGCTTTATTAAAGCCTATCTTAAACTTGAGCCTTGTATAAAAACCACAGGCTAGCCACACCTGAATAAATCAGTGTAATTATTCAGATTGGTACCTAAACTCTAGGAAGGAAAACAAAAAACCTAGAAACAATCTACAAAATATCAGTGAAGGGCAATTAAAATGATAATGGTTTGGAGGAGTTTTTGGATAAGGACTTAGGGAAAAAAAGTACCTCTATTACACAAAGAAACTAACTTGATAAAGCTTTAGGAGACATAGGAAAGTTGAATGTATAATTTTTTAAACCATATTCAGAAACACTGTTATTGGTATGATAATGAAGGAGGTAGTTATAGGTCAAATAAAATAAAGTAGTGTTTAGTAAACATCTAGAATTTGTTTGCCTGAGAGGTTGTATTATCTGAAAGCATAAACACTCAGGTAAATCTATGAATGACAGGCAGTTGGGTATGAAGGCAAAGTTCAAGGTATGCTCCCCATCTCTAGGGCTTGTTGTAGCACAAGGTCACTGTTGAGGTCTCCATCCAGCACCTTTACTGTTGAGAAGGCAGAGCATTAGGTGGATCACCCAGAAATCTGCACTCACATAGCATTCCATAACTCACTGGACATGGACTAGAAACAAGGTGGACTTAAAATTGAACAGATTCAGTTCCTTGCTATTAAGGAGTCATTTTTAATATTTGTGTAAGTCTGTCATTTTCTTAAAATAAGTAAAGATACTCATTGGGGCTTTTTTATAAAAATGATTGTAAAGAGGTTGTCATTCTAATATATCCAATTACTTCTCTCTAGAAACTTTTAGAACACTGTTTTCTTTGTAGTTTACCTCTTTATTTAAGAATGATCAAGACAAGTATTTTGTAAAATGACACAAATAATTTTCATAATTTCTTTTTATTATAAAGTTGTTTTTAGGGTATTAACACTTGCTTTGGCTCAAGTAACTTGGTTTTGTCATGGTAATGGTTTTAGGTGGACTATCTGTTTGGCATGTTGTAGTTTAATATCCTTAATTAAGTGATATTTAAGTTTTGTAAATAGGTACACATTTTTTATTTGTGTATTATATCTAGCAAGAGATCATAGGAAGATTTTAGTCACCAATATACTTCACTCTCCAAGAATTTGATTTATAACAATTATGCAATGGAATATCATATCAAAGAAGAACTTTGTTTTGGCCTTTCTCTACCATTTTATTTAATTAACAGATATCATTGTAAAATAATGCTGCATTTATTCTTAAATCATTTGTCAGGTACTTAAATATGTCTCATATACTATGATATGCTCTGGGGGTTTCAAGAACCTCATGTAGAATATGGTTTCTGTTTTTAGGGTGCTTATGGTCAAGCAGGCAATATGGACCCCTTAAACAGAAAATCCTGTACTATTTTACTTCGAGTCACTGATAGAGATGATTAAGAGGGCCAAGATGTGGGGCAGTCAACTCACTGAGTAAAAGGGAATGGAGAGGAGTTGGGTAAGGAAGGGTGCCGGGAAAAGTACACCCTGACCTAAGTCTGATAGGGAGAGTACAAGTTATTGAGAGAAAGAAGAATAAATGGGGCACTGTAAGCAGGGAAAGTGCAATACAAGACATCCGAAAATGGCAAATGATGGGCAGAGATAACCAAAAACATATAAGCAGGCCTTATTAGGTGATAGAACACAGCCTCGCTTTTCAGGAAAGAAAGAGCAATACAAGACATCCGAAAATGGCAAATGATGGGCAGAGATAACCAAAAACATATAAGCAGGCCTTATTAGGTGATAGAACACAGCCTCGCTTTTCAGGAAATGAGAATCCATTGATGAGTGCTCAAGCAGAAGCAAGACATATTCATATTTGTATTTTAGATGAAATCCTCTGATGGTATCATGGAGGATATGAATTTAAAAGCCAGTCTGAAGCCAGCAGAACAGTGTGGAAGATGAATACCCAGGAAAGAGATGAAGACTTGTTCCGATGTAATTATAACAAGTATAGTGAGAAAGGGGAAAAAAATGAAATATTTTAGAAGTCAAATTAGTGACTCTTGGTTATTGATTAGGCATAGGAGACATAGTGACATCAGATTCTACAGAGAATCATCTTGTTAACATGGCAATTGGTTGAATTATAGCTGCTACTCAATGTAACAATCTTCCTTGAATTGTAAAATTCTTAGGAATGGAGACATGGCGTATTTGCATTTGGACCAACAACTTATAGAACATAATGTGACACATGTTAAGCATCAGCTGAGTTTAATTCAGTCATCTAAATCTCCAAGGAAAGATCTATATATCTTCAGTTTTTCTCATGACTATGCATTTCTAACAGAAATGATTAAGCTATTTTGTAAGTGAAATAATATTTTCAGCCAGAGAAGATAGCCAAAAGCTTTTGGTATTTATAAGCAATAGCTTTCAGTATTTAGTACACATGATATCAATGAATGTCATCAAGCATTTGTATGCAACAGTCAGGGGGTATGAATAAGCTTTAATAATTGCTCTCTGGCTGCAGGAGGTGCTAGACACAGAAATAAGATCATTATAAGATCACCTTTGGTTTATAGGTAGAGTCACAATGGTAGCATGGAAACACTAAGGAGAGGAACCCAATAATGTAGGCCTGGAGGATAGGCAGGGAGATGCTAGAAGAAGAGTTTTTGAGGATGGTGGTGCCTTACTGTCCCGGTCAAATCATGTGTGAGGAGTAATGCCATTCAAAGTGGTGGTGAAAGCATGAGTGAGGGGTAGAGGTGAGAAACAGAATAGTGCAGAAATGAAGACTGCAGGCAAGTTTGGGGCTGCCGGAGCATCGATGTAAGTAGAGTGAGGAAAGAGGAGAAATGGAGGGGGGATGAGCGAATTCCATTTTGTAATTCAGATGATGCTTTTACATCTCAGAAAACATTTTGATCTTCTAATCATCTGTGAACCATTTTCTTGCCTCTTATAATTTTTTTCCTAAAAAACAACAGAAAATCCTGCCTTATAGACTAATAAGCCATATTAACAAGCATGTGGCAAAACAAGGTGCTGACTTTGGTGGATGTTATTACAGAACAAGTGACTTTTCAGGTACCACTTGTAAAGAGACTATTCTTGTTGTCCAGTGTCTCATATGCTAAGTATTACTAAGCTCTGCTCTTCCACTGACCATTTTAAAAGCGCCGTGGGCTCTTTTCCAGAAGCCTTAGTTGTCTCTGTGAGAAAATCAAGATCTTCATTTCCTCTGAGGAAAACATCCATTAAAAAAACCCCAAACTGTGAAAACAATAATCATAATGGGAAAGACACAGGCTCCAATTCACAAAATGTGTAAAATCAAATCAGATAAGACATAAAAAAAAAAAAAGTACTTGGAGGTCATGGAGCACTATAAAAATGTGAAATGGCAGCATTATTGGTGATTGAACTACAGCAATGTTACTTTATAAAGCTACCCAAAGAATTTTTATTGTATTTTCCCACTGTGCATTTTAGTAAATAGCAAAACAGTAGTAAAACTTTGACCTGAAAATTGCTTCCCAAATCTGAAACGCATTCCAATTTGGATCTGCAAAGAATGCATGAATATTAAAATATGTAAAACTAACTTACTGTGTTGAGCCCCAGGCCATTAAGCATATATACCAAATCCTCAGTGGCTACATTTCCAGAAGCACCTTTTGCATAAGGGCAACCACCCAATCCTGATACTGCAGAGTCCACCACGTTAATCCCCATCTGAAAAATAAACCAAAACACCCAGGCCTTGTACATTTATGGCATGTAAATTGTTGCATTTCTACTTAACCTGTTGCAGAGCAAATAAGCAAATCTGAACCCATTATCCAAACATTCACTTACTTACCTGTTGCTAGAACAGTCCTTGGGGAGCTGATTTCTTTTCTGACTAATCTTTTTTTAGCCTAACAAACTCTGCTAAGGATTGCAGGAACTAGAATAATCTTATATCAACATTAAGATGGTGTTTTCATTGATAACAGAATGACTAAAGAGGGTGAAGCTTGAAATAAGATTAATACACACCTAGATTGTATTCTCCATCCAAATCTCAAGCTTTATCCTAAAAGCATTATATAAACAACATGAAATATTTCTAACATGCCAATTCGGAATCAAGGTGCTTTAGAAGACTAGTGGTGGTAGCGGTAGGGTAACTGTGTCTGAGACAGGATTTTTGTGAACTCAGTTCATCCACCTATTAAGCCATTATTTTACACACAAAACTCTACTGCTTTGGAAGAAATAAATAAGAGGCAAGATACCCACCACTAACAATAGTACCAGCTTACAAAATGTCCTTACTAAGTGCTGGTTATTGCTCTTAACACCTTATGAGTGTTAACTCATAATCCTCACAAAAATCCATGAGGTAGAGGCTCTTCTATAATCCCCAAACCAGGGATGAAGAAACTCAAGGACTGAAGGATCACACATTTTGCCGAAGGTTACCTCTGTCACATTCTATTGTGATTTGTGGCTTCTGGAAACATTCAAGTGGGTACATGTTATATGTTTGGGACATCAGAGGTGGAGAGGATCTGTGTTTGCTAGAGATATTGTGGAAGTCATGTGCACAACAGGGTCCGAAATGGGCCCTGGAGATTAGATTTGAATAAAAGGAGAAGAGAGGCAGGCATATCATTCTTCTGTAAAAGGTGATAATTGGGTAATTAGAAGCTACCAGGAGGCCTAACTGATTCTTCACTCTTGGGCATTGAAGAAAAGGTAACATGACCTCATTAAAATGAGAAGTCCCTGAAAGTAGATCTCTTAGCCAACCTGCTAGATCAGCAGTTCTCAACCACAGAGTCAGAATCCCCATCCCCAGAATGCTACATCCCCAGAGTTTGTGATTCAGGAGGTCTTGGCTGGGATCCAAGAATTTTGAATTTTTAACAAGATCTCAAATGCTGTTCTCACTGCTGCTCTGGGGATCACTCTTTTATTTTCTTTTTAAATTAACTTTATTTTAGAATAGTTTTAGATGTCCAGAAAATTTGTTAAGATAGTACAGAGCATTCCTATATACTTTGCACCCCGTTTCCCTGTTGTTAACATCTTACATTGTTATGGTGTAGTTGTCACAACTAATGAACAAATATTATGTTATTATTAACTAAATTCCATGCATCACTAAGATTTCCTTAGCTTTTAAAATAATGTCCTTTTTCTGTTCCAAGAACTCATTTAGGATACCACATTACGTTTAATACTCTTGTCTTCTTAGGCTTCTCTGGGCTGTGACAGCTTCTCAGACTTTGTTGACCTTGACAGTTTTGAGTAGTACTTGTCATATATATTTTGTACAATGTCCTTCAATATAGGTTTTTCTAATTTTTTTCCCCTCATAGTTAGACTGGAGTTCTGGAATTTTGTGAGGAAGACTGCAGAAGTGAAGTGCTATTCTTAGTACATTATATCAAGGGCTCTGTGATATTATGATTTATAAAAAATACATATTTGGTCATTCTGATGACCATTGCATATTCTCATATTTGGTCTTCTAAGGTTCCTGGCTCAGAGATCCTAAAACATTTGGAATATCCTAAGTGATAAGAGCTATCCAAGAGTCTTCTGTTATATTAATGAGGTATCATTTGTATCTCACCTAAAAATGAAAGTGAGTTGTTGTCAGTGAAGCCACCATGTGATTAGAACATTGGAACTTTCAGTCCCATCCCTGACCTCTAGGTAGGAGAGAGAGGCTAGAGGTTGAATTAATTGCCAGTAGCTAATGATTTAGTCCATTTTTTTAATGTAAAGAAGCCTCCATAAAAACCAAAAGGACAGGGTTTGGAGAGCTTCTGGGTTGGTGAACATGTGCAGGAGCTGGGAGAGTAATTTGCTCAGAGAGAGCATGGAAGCTCAACGCTTTATCCATGCCTTGCATTTCTCCCATCTGGCTGTTCTAAAGCCTTTGATAATAAACTGAAAATCTAATAAGTAAAATGTTTCTCTGAGTTCTGTAAGCTACTCTAGCAAATTAATTGAACCAAAGGAGCAGGTTGTGGAAACCTTTGATTTATAGCCAGTTGATCAAAAAGTACAAGGAATAACCTGGATTGTGAATATCATCTGACATAAAAGGAGGGGGTCATGAAAACCTCTAATCGGTATTTGCGGGTTAGAAGCACAGGTAACAACTTGGGCTTGCAATGGGCATCTGAAGGCTGGGAATGCAGTCTTGTAGGATGAACTCTTAACCTGTGAGATCTGATGCCATCTCCAGGTAGTGTCAGAATTGAGAAATGATAGGACACCAGCCAACTGGTATCTGAATTGCTAGTTGGTGTGGGGAAATCTCCCTCCTCCCCACATTGTTACATACTATCAAAATGGTTTATGACTAATTAGGGAGTGTTTGCCAGGTTTCTGCATGATAAAACCCCTCTGCCACCATTTTTCTATACAGTGCTCTTTGGAAAAAGGTCACCATCTGCATCTTACACTGAAGGAGTAAAGAATAATTTATTTGGAATTCTCCCCTACAGGAGATTCGTCTATTCTTTCACATTTATTTATTCAATCATTTATATCAGTAGAGATTCATAGGTATTTATTTTTCACTTTGGGTACTAATCCAATCTTACTTTATATATTTTGTTGCTCAAGTTGAGATCTAGATTTTCCCTTGTGAGACTTGAAGATGTTTACCAAGGCTCACAGGGGCAGAACCGTAGTCCAAAAGCCTTACATGTCTTTGGGACTCAAAGCAAGTTTACAAATATAATCTGTTTGCTTATGAACCTCCCTTTCTCCTCATTATACTCCTCAATATGGGAAGGTCTCAAAAGCTCTTCTTTCATTATCACAACCTCTCAAATAATGATCTGACAAGCTCAATCATATTGAGGTGTTAATACCTGACCAGCTAAAGTACTGGTCCATTTAGGACAATGTATCTACATTTGCTGTGAATCAAAATAGCAAATATAAGGAATTATGTTCTAGGAGTGAAATTTGTAGTATTGTCCAGTAGTTGGGAAAGACAAATGTTAGGACGCTGACCCATCTCTGGGAGTCCGCCATGACATCTAATAGGCAGAGGAATTCTTTACTTACAGGCAAAGACTATCAATTCTGTAGAATTTATCCTTCATGAAGATAGTTTTGGTGGTTTCAATACTGACTACCCATTATAATCACTTTGGAACCTTTTAAAACTAACTCTCAAGTTTCTCCCCAAACCAATGAAATCACAATCTCTCTGGCAATGGGGTGAGGCATTGGTATTTCTTTAAAGTTCCCCTGGTGATTCTTTTGTGTAACTAGGTGTGGGAACCACTTAGGCAGAGGTTCTCATCCAACTCATCCTTTATCAATCCCTGGGTCTGAGTCAGTTTTAATTTTAGAGAAGCTCTGCACCCTGCCTGGGGAAGAAAACAATTAATCATGACTGGTCAACTTTTCAAGGAAACCAGTTTTTGCAAGCAGATACAATATATATATATGAGGTAGCAAAAATCAGCAGTACGAGCATGATGAGTGAGACATGGCTTCAGCCCACCATGAGGTCTGATTCACTCTTGGTATCTGGAATATCATGTTCCTTTTCCCAGTACTGAGGATTAAGATTCTGCAAACACTACAGAACTACAGAAGGGACACTTGTTGCCTTGTCAAAAGAACAGTCTTAATTGGCCTTTTGGGAGACAGTGAAAAACACAAAAGTCCCTCTTCGTAACTTATGATCAATGTGACTTATCGAGTGGGTAATGTGAAAGTTTATTCACAATAAGAGTAACCAGAGTCACAAAAGAGAAACAATAAATAACCAATGTCAAAATAGAACAAACAAATAGCAAGTGAAGGTAGGGAAACACTTTTATCCCACATTAAATCAAAGACTGTGAGAGAAAAACTAAAATACTATGGTATTTTGTACTTTCAGACTGACGAAGATTGTTAGCAATAAAATAAGTATAGAGCAATAGAATGTGAAAAAGAAAACTACAACTTCAACAATATCGACAAATCCATAAGAAGTCAGGCACAAAAGAAGACATACGTTATGATGCCATTTAGGTAACTTGTAAGATAACAATGCTGTTAGAAGTTAGGCTAATAGTTAACTTTTGAAATGTAAATAAAAATGAGCAAAAGGAAAGCTTCCAGGGTGCTGACAACATTCTATTTCTTGATCTGGGTTGGTTACACAAATAGTATCAGTATGTGAAAATTCTCACAAGTCTGAGCTTATAATGTGGCCAATTTTTTGTATGTGCATTAAACTTCGATAAATATGGTGACCCAAAAAGCAATGTTGTTGGAATTGAAAGTAAACAGGAACACTTAAATTGGTAGGAAATTAGCTGCAACTTTTTTTCTGCTCAGCAATTAATTAGCAATTAGTCTTAATTGCCAAAATCCATCATTGCAGCAAGTTCCTATCAAAAAAGTCCTTCCTAGGAATATTTTATGAATCCTAAGTAAATAGGTAAGAAATAACAAATATATATGGGTGAATGTATGTGTGTTGCACATGAAGCACTCTGCACACACATGCATCCCTCTATAGATTCATCAGTCATTTTATAAGAATAAAAATTTGAAAATAATCCAAAGGTCTGTAATGGGAAATAATTTAAATTAATTATGATATAGCTATAAAATAGAATGATAAATGCTATGTAAATGCATAATTAAAGGGAAAAATAGGTTAGAGGATGTTATAACAGAAGACAGAATAATGATTCTATATTCTAAAAAAAAAGATT